CCCACTTACTGAGTGCATACCATGCTACCAGTGAGTGTAAGCTGAGTTCAAACCCTACTGGTCACCAGCTCTGTGACTTTGAGCCCTGTACTTAATCCCTCAAGTTTCCTCCTTGATACAATGAGGCTATAAATAGTGCTTCCTCAAAGAGTGACTGAGATAGTCCATACAAAGTGTTTAACATAGTTCCTGGCACATGGTAAGCGCTCATTAAATGTCAATTGTATCATTCTAGCCTTCTCAGTCTTAAGAAATATACTGCAATGTACTACCATCCCCATTTTCTAGAAGATGAAATCTAGAGAGAGAAAATGACTTGCCAAGGCCCCAGAGTTGATACCTGGAGGAGCCAGAACTTGAACCCAGGCCTTGACCCAGCCTCCAGAGTTGGCTTACCCATTACTCTGCTCTGTCGACCAAGTCACACCTTCACAATCATGGCTGTCATTGGTTGCCTGGTGTTCATAGTGGCTTTAAATGGTTTCAGTTTTATTGAGTTCCCTATACAAACGTAACTGGATTTAACAGAACAAATATTGTTCTGTCATCAGGTTGTTTAAGGAGTTTTTCCTGGATGTAGTGGTCAAGTTTCAGAGGCCATGCTGGACCTATGAGTCATAGTATAATGAGGAACATCTGGTATTCTCAGGTGTTCTGTGACAACCCTTAGCTTGGCTCAAACTCATACCATTACCCTTTGAGATTTTGTCTGGTCCAGGCGTCGGCAAATCAGGCCAACTGCTTTTTTTTTGTAAATAAAGATATACTGGAACACAGATGTGCCCATTTGTTTATGCATCAGCTATGGCTGCATTTGGGCTACAATAGCAGAGCTGAGTAGTTGCAACAGAAAGAGTATGGCCCATGAAGCTGAAAATATTTAGTCTTGGACCGTTTACAGAAAAAGTTTGCCGACTCCTTCTACTGTTTGCAAGCACATCACGGCAAAAAAACCAAAACCCAAAAAACTTGCTTGAACTTCACAGGCAATCAGAGCGGCCTCTCTGGAGTAACCCATCCGCTTACTGGTTTGCACGTGGACGCCAGTGCCTTCTGCACGGTGGGAAGTGTGATTTGAACCAGTGCCTCTTGAAATATCCTCTTCCGGATGGTGCTGCTGTCATAATCATATTGCTGTCAATACAGAGAGAGAAACATATGCTAAATAGCAGCATTGCAATCTGTTAACTTGCGCTTAAACAAAACTCTCAGCCACCCACGTCGTCTCCCTTTTCCTCCCTAATTTCTGAGGCCCTTTGTGGTGTTTCCAAGGTCTCAGAGATCTTCCTATGTAATGCTCTCACACTCTAGGTGGAGGTTATGGCTGATAAAGACCCATCTCACCCTTTCCTCTTATAGGTATGGAAACTGAGGCAAGATCAAACTAGCAACTTCTGCGTTATTAAGAAGCTGGGGGATAGAACTGGGGGTTGAATTTGTGTTGTATCACCACTGTCCTGGGTGGGTCCCTGGGAGCCATGGTTATATATGGGGCCAAATGATAGCTCCACCGACTTTTTTCACTCTACATCCTGAAAGCAGGATTAGTGGGTTATAATGATGTCCACAAGGAAGAAAGGGTCTGGCTCCTGGCTACATTACCACAGTGGCATGTTAACCAAAACTACTCAGCATCTAGAACAAGATAGATGATGATTCACTCTGTTCTGCATGGGCCATCCAACTACAGAGACCAGGGTTTAGTTTTAGATGTCGCTTCAAGGGGATCACAGACAAACTGGAGCACAGTCACAGGTACATGAGCAGAATGGTCTGGCCAAATAAAGAATGGTTAAAGAGATGAAGGCATTTACACTGGAGATAGTCACTTGGGGCCAAATTATAGCTCTATTCGAACAACAAAAGGCTACAATGTGGAAACAAGACATGAACAAAGAGGGTAGAGCCAGAATTGCAACTAGTGAGAACTTTAGCTTAACATTAAGAAGCATGTTCTTGCTGTTAAATGTTCCCAGAGAAGAAATAGACTACCCTGAGAGGTATAAAAGGGTCCTGACACTGGAGGAGATACTGACATTGACACTATCTTGGCTTTCTCAATTTCAAGTTCATTATTATTTGTGTTACCATGATAAGTATTGCTTTTAATCTCAATGATTTGCAGAGCTTTCTACTGCTTATGGGGCCTTAGGATAAAGTCTGAACTCCAGGGACCATTTCCTAGGTTTTGTGGAATTTTGATATTCTGCTCTGAGCACTGTTGAGGGGAAGTGGGTAGTAAAAAATTAGTGCACTAGGTTTAAGGATAGTTTTAGCACTAGGTTCACCATTGACCAACCTGTTGAGCTAACGG